GCTTTTCTAGTGCATGTGCCCTAACATTTTGTATGCAGTCTGCCTAAACACTCAAGGTGAATACTTAAGGCAATTATCCCAATAGTCCAGACCATACAATGTTCAGAACAAAGAAAAAAATAATCAGACATTATTAGCTTTTAATTTTTCTCCTTTCCTTCCTTGCTCTCTCTCTCTCTCATTCTTTGTTTTTCTTTGTGCACGCATGCTAAGTTGCTGTAGTTGTGTCTGACTTTTTGCGACCCCATGGACTATAGCCCGCCAGGCTCCTCTGTCCATGGGATTCTCCAGGTAAGAGTACTGGAGTGGGTTGCCATGCCCTCCTCCAAGGGATCTTCCTGACCCAGGGACTGAACCCATGTCTCTTCAGTCTCCTTCATTGGCAGGCAGGTTCTTTGCCACTAGAGCCGCCTGGGAAGCCCCCTTTTCTTTGTAATTCCCTCCAATTCCTCCTTTGTCATGGTGGCCACAGCCTGTGGTAACAAAATTGATTTTATTAGTGTTTGTTCATAAGTGTTGTAACCCTGCTTGACATTTCTTGCTTAATGTGAAAACCAAGTTCTGCTTGTGTTGGGCTTCATTTCCAGTCATCTGACTCAGATCAGCTCTCAGGCTACTGCTGTGTTTCTCAGAGAGCCCTTCACTCGTGCACACACAGTCCATCTCTCAGCCTAGGCTCTGGCTGCTCTGGCAAAGAATGAGAAATGAATCCAGGTCATGCCTTTCTGAGTTTCCTACTTTTTGAGTTACTCCAAGGTAACTCATGGAGCCTCTTGTTTGCTCCTCAAATAGACCCTGTGTCTGACACACCCACACAAACCTCCAGGGGGATATTCATAATCAAGCAAAGACATGGAAGGAATTCATACTGAGAAACAGGCTTCTTAGGAGAAAGTTTCTTCTGTTTTATCAACCAGTAAAAAGCCATTTCCTCCCTAGAGTGTCCTAGAGGACATGTTTCAGAAGAAATGGATTCCCATGAGCACTAAAAAAATATTAATTAAGTCTGTTTCTCACTTAGGCCAACCTATTTCAGACTTACTGGAAAGCCCTATATTATCTCATCCTATTTCTCCATTCACAGGCTTTTCTTGAAATACATCTAATTGACCAGTGTTGAAAATCCCCATGAATCGAGATTGTGGATAGCCATGCTGAGAAAGACTTCAGGCCTGCAGCAGTCTAGCCTGAAGTCCTCAATGCAATTCTCTAGTCATCTTTGTGACACAGTTTGCCGTCATTTCCGATGACCCATGGCCTTGGGGGCTGTTGTTTATAACGTTACATGGGTGATGCTCCTGCTCAAATACATTCATTAGTAAATTTTGGAAGAAGAAAATTAGCATCAAATATTTCACCTTACTCATTGATTTGGCTGCTAAAGTGTTCTATATATAATTTTGTTGTTCAGTTGCTCAGTCGTGTCTGATTCTTCGCAAACCCAGGGACTGTAGCATGCCAGGCTTCCCTGTCCTTCTCTATCACCTGGAGATTGCTCAAACTCATGCCCATTGAGTTGGTGATGCCATCTCAATATAATATGCAATATCATATAATATGTCATATATGACACATATTATTAAAAATCAAGTCACATTTATAATACTCAGAAGTACTGGCCATTAAAAGGAATACTTCCCTAACCCCTTTGCAAAGCAAACATCATTCCGCAAAGGCAGTGAACACTTAATAATTTATCCTTTCAGTAGCTTCTTCCTTTCATGACGTACCAGTGATCACTACAGAAATCCATGCAAAAGCAAGGGATGGTTTGGGCAGAAAAATTGGAACATTTGTCACACACACACACACACATTGATTTTCCTCAATTATCTTTCTTTTGAAAACAATTTGGGGGCCTGATATCCCAAGAATTACTTCAACTTTCCACTTTGAATGTATACAGATGACAGAACCCTAGCTCCTGCCTTGTGTTGGAGTGTTCTTCTTTCAGCTCTATTTTTGGCCCTTTCTGTTCCAGTCCTTACACATCTTGTAGGAAAGGCCTGGAATTCATGCCAGTGAAAAGGCGAAATGCGATAAAAATTGAGATGCTCATTAAACTTCACAGCGTTAACATTTTCGACACTCCCAGGAGGATTTACTACATTTTCTCCTGAATGCAGGAGCATATGATTTCCACATTGCTCTATTTTCTGGGTTTTAAATCCTCTATTATTCTACTCTGGCTTTCCTATTTAAAGTACAAAATGTCAAATGTTTAGATTTAACTTTTTTCATTCAAAACCTATAAGAATGACCATAGAGATTTAGATCATGCACCTATAGAGTGTGTTTCAAACTTCTTTCAATTTCGATGTAATAACTGAATTTTTTTTAAATAGTAAAAACATGCAGTTGAATACCTTTCATAACCATGGAGATAAAATACTGACTCATCATTAAAATTTAATTTGTGAGCTTTTTCCTTAAGATAGAGTCCCCAAACTTTATGTAGTTCTCCTGCTCAATTTAATTTTTACCTATCTTCCTACTATGTGAAAATAACTATGCAGAAGCATCTTAAATGATAAGGAGATGAATAAGGTATAGACAGCCCCTGCCTTCAAGAAGCTCCAATGAAGGAGGCATATAAGCCACAAATTGTAGTATCTCCTAGAATGGAATTGTTTCCATAGCACAAAAAAAAGGGAACAATTACACTGATTTTTTTTTTTAAACACTGAGGAAAAAGGTATTGCAGACTGAGAGGCTAGATTTGATTTCCCTCATGAATTTATTCAGTTACTGATCAATTTATAAGAGCAAATGTACCAGTTTAACTGCGGTTTTTGACAAATAACTTTGAAAATAAATTTCATTCCTTTCATTTAGATGCATTTTAAAAAATGTTTTTAAAAGTAAAACAAAGGTTTCCTCTGGCTTTTCTCTATCACTGTCTTAAACTTGCTTTTTGTACAAGAATATAGTTACCTAAGTCAGCCAGACTTTCACAACAACTGGTTATTGTTAAATCTGTTTAAATTATTGTGGGTTTCATGTATCTTTTATCTTAGATTTCAATAGAAACGCATAAGGTCAGCATCAGTGCTAATAAATGAAAATTTAATCTCATTATCATATAAATCATTTTTTAAAGCAGCACCCCAGTTTTCAATTTTTTTGTGTGCTGTAAGCCACTTGTTTTTTATTCCCCTTTAAAGTTTCTATTTAAACACACCTCTTTGTCATATGCTGATAAATATTAAAATAACAGGAAAAATCTGCTTGACTTATTTAAGCTGATAATAAGAACAAAACACAGGATGTGTGTGTCCTCCTTCCTTTTTTGACTGTGGTTAAGCGTTAAGAAGGTTTTGAAACCTATAATTACGTAATAATTGGTATCACTATATTCTCTTCCCAATGAAAAGTCAGGATTTTTGTAGTTTGCCACAAAGACAGACAAAAACAAATTGCCTAAGTATTATTGTCATTTCTTTGCTCCATTGTTTTAAAAGAATTTAGCAAAAGAACTTTCCAGTTGCCAAGCTATAGTTATTGTGCCAATAATCACAACATGATCTTTCCAACAGCATCTTTGGTTAATGAGCTAATTTATAGAACTCTAAACATCACATATTTTCCTAATGTTTGTCAGTATTTATTATAAGAAAAAGAAAACATAGTTTAAAGATTTAAATTGCTGTCAAAAGCATCTTGGGAAATTTGGCTAATAGAAATGGGAGTGACAGTGTCTCATGAGTGGGCCAAGATGATGACATGATAGGCGTTTCAAAACTACCGGCTTTGATCTCCAAGTATGTAACACCAGTTATGTGTTAAAACACTCTAGTTATTTAGTTTTTTTTCATAAAACTTCTAAAGGAAATAGTACATCAGCACATCAAGGTTTTTAAAGTTCATGGATAGATTAGCATTTTCTTTAATTTCATGTCTTGGGACTTGACCTTACTTAATATCTTCCTTTTATTCTTGTTCTCAATCTTTTTCTCATAAAAATATTTTTTAAAGCATGTACCATAAATACTTCAGAAGCCAATGAGCCAATGGGACCTCCAGCTTTTGTTTTCTACTTTTAAAAGTTGGACTTGTGTATTATTTCTGTTATATGTATGACCATCATACCGGCAAGAAAACACAGCATCTGAGCAAGGAAGATCAAAAGAATAAAGCAAAGGGTAATACAGAAACCTATGAGGCAATGTTAGGTGTTAAATAGAAATACAAATGCCTATGAGGCAACATTAAGTGTTAGGTGATCTCATCATGAGTTCATCTTGTTTCTCCTGTGGTTCTACTCAAGTCCACTGCTCTACTAGTGGGAGAGATTTAAGAGGGAAAACTCCATTTTGCACTTTAAAACAATGTCACCTAACTGGTTGCATCTTATGTAAGAAGAATTTCATGCTCAACACATCTCCAAGATAGATGTTCCTTCAAGGTGGCCCTTCCTCTCTGCAGCTCTCAACTCCACATGAGAAGCATATGCACAGTATTAACAAAACGAGAGGTTAGGTTTCTTTTTTTAAAAAAAAAACACCTTTGAGGAACAAAGTTGGACGACCTCCAAGGGAAATGATTTGTGACCTGGAAAAAGCTTTTGGTTTCACACCTGGAAAGGATGTAGATTCAAGTGGGATGTATAGCTGACGCTAAGAGGAAAACCACTAACATTCACTGCGGGGCCCTCAGGCCAATGAGGGGGCACCTGGGGCCTTTGAGGTTAGCTTCTCCGGAGTTCACTGGGGCCGGCAAGCTGAGGTCAAGGTTGCACTCTGGCTCTGGTTCCGGGAAGCAGCATGACCACACATCCATCACATTCTGGAATCGGAGGCATGCATACGATGGGAAAGTTATTTAATGCTGTTTTTTATTTGGTTTCATGTGGACTGCAGTAAAGTTGCAGTCTGCCTTTGAAAAAAGTCACCAAGAGACAGATTGGGAGCAAACAAATGCTATTTTTCTCGAAAAGGGTCTAGAAAAGAGGTACATTTATTATTTTGAAATATAGAGATAAGCCTGATGACACGGCTTACCTGGCAGGTTGACTCTGGAGACAGAGGGCTGACCAGCAGCTGGAGACCTCCTGTGGAGAGGGAGAGAAGAGAAGGCCTGAGTCTCTGCAAGAATACCCTTCCCTGCACCCCCTGGTCACTGAGGAGTTTTCCAGGTCAGAACGAGCTATCAAGTGACATCACGCCATCTCCGGAAGGCAGGCTCCTGTAACTCGGGTGATGACTGTGATTCTCACATCCAGATGGCCTGGAATTTCCCTCTGCCCAGCCTCCTGGATTCTCCAACACTCCAGGAAGGAAGTCATTTACTCCAGTCCCTAACCAGTCATTCAGTTTTACATTTCCCTGCCCCGGGTGGCCCTTGAAGATGGTACACTTGATCAGAAATGACATCAAATGTAAGAGCAAATCTCAACTTCTTTGGGCAGTACTTGAAGGAGAGGAACCCTTGGAGGGCTAGGTCTCCCATTTTTACACCTTAGGAACCTGAGAGCGGGAGAAGTGAAGTCACTTACCAGAGCCATTAGGAACAGTAATCCAGCTGGCTTAATTTACGGAAAGGTCTTTTCTTGGTAGAACTAGGCATTTTTCTACATCACAAAGCAAGCCTGCTCAAGTTGAGAGTCAGATGAAGCAAGCAGATAAACCCTTGCTCCACAAATACAGGGGTTCTTTCTCCTTTTCTTTCTTGCTTTTATTTCTTCTTTATTCATCTTTTATATCCCCTGCCCCACAAACCCTAATTTTCTTGCCATCCTTCTCATGCTTTGCCAGGCTCTCCAGGATTCCCGGTGCATCCCTGAAACAGGACTGAGCAGTGGCCCTCAAGCTTTACGGTGCATAGAGTCACCTGGAGAGCTGATTAAGACACACTGCTGAACCTTACTTCTAGGGTTTCTGGTTCAGTCTGCCGGCTTTGGCCTTAAGAGTCTGCATTTCTAACTCATTCCAAGTGATGCTGATGCTGCTGACCTTGTTGCTGTTGCTGTTCAGTTGCTCAGTCCTGTCTGACTCTTTGCATCCCCATGGACTGCAGCACACCAGGCTTCCCTGTCCTTCACCATCTCCCAGAGTATGCTCAAACTCATGTCCATTGAATCGGTGACACCATCCAACCAACTCATCCTCTGTTGTCCCCTTCTTCTCCTGCCCTCAACCTTTCCCAGCATCAGGGTCTTTTCCAATGAGTTGGCTCTTCACATATGGTGGTCAAAATAATGGAGCTCCAACTTCAGTCCTTCCAATGAATATTCAGGATTTATTTCCTTTAGGATTGACAGGTTTGATCTCCTTGCTGTCCAAGGGACTCTCAAGAGTCTTCTCTAGCACCACAGTTCAAAATCATTAATTCTTTGGTGCTCAGCCTTCTTTATGGTACAATTCTCACATCCAGACCTGACTACTGGAAAAACAATAGCTTTGACTATATGGACTTTTGTTGGCAAAGTGATGTCTCTGTTTTTTAATATGCTGTCTAGGTTTGTCATTGCTTTTCTTCCAAGGAGCAAGGACCTTTTAATTTCATGGCTGCAGTCACCATCCTGTGATTTTGGAGCCCAAGAAAATGAAGTCTGCTACTGTTTCTATTGTTTCCCCATCTATTGGTTATGAAGTGATGGGACTGGATGCCATAGTCTTAGTTTTATGAATGCTGAGTTTTAAGCCAGCTTTTTCACTCTCCTCTTTCACCTTCATCTAAAGGCTCTTTAGTTCCTCTTCACTTTTGGCCATTAGGATGATATCATCTGCATATCTGAGGTTGTTTATATTTCTCCTGGCAATATTGATTCCAGCTTGAGCTTTAGCTAGCCCGCCATGTCACATGATGTACTCTGCATATAAGTTGAATAAGCAGGGTGACAATATATAGCCTTGACATTCTCCTTTCTCAATTTTGAACCAGTCTTTTGTTCCAAGTCTGGTTCTAACTGTTGCTTCTTGACCTAAACACAGGTTTCTCAGGAGGCAGGTAAGGTGGACTGGTATTCTCATCTCTTTAAGAATTTCCAGTTTGTTGTGATCCACACAGTTAAAGGCTTTAGTGTAGTCAATGAAGCAGAAGTAGATATTTTTCTAGACTTCTCTTGCATTTTTCTATGATCCAATGTATGTTGGCAATTTGATATCTCGTTCCTCTACCTTTTCTAAATCAAGTTTTTACATCTGGAAGTTCTTGGTTCACATATTGTTGAAGCTTAGCTTGAAGGATTTTGAGCATTACTTTGCTAGTATGTGAAACGAGCACACTTGTAAGGCAGTTTGAACACTCTTTGGCATTGCCTTTCTTTGGGATTGGAATGAAAACTGACCCTTTCCCTTGCAAGTCCAAGGGACTCTCAAGAGACTTCTCCAGCACCACAATTCGAAAGCATTAATTCCTCAGTGCTCAGCCTTTTTTATGTTCCAAGTCTCACACTCATACATGACTGCTGGAAAAACCATAGCTTTGACTATGCATATGTACACACACACACACACACACACACACACACACACACACATATATATTTGATCTTTGGCTCAATTCTTGGCACAGAGCTCCTAAAATCCTAAGAGTTTCCTAAGTGACGAGAGGAAACCAGTCAGTCAAACCAGTCAATCCTAAAGGAAATCAACCCTGAATATTCATTGGAAGGACTGAGGGCAGGAAGAGAAGGGGATGACAGAAGATGAGATGGTTGAATGGCATCACCGACTCAATAGACGAGTTTGATCAAACTCCTGGAGATAGTGAAAGACAGGGGAGCCTGTTGTGCTGCAGTCTATGGGAGTGCAAAGACTTGGAGACAACTTATCAAATGAACAACAACAAAGTGAGGAAAGCCATCTTTGATATGTGTCTTTTGACATGTTAATGAAGTGACCTTTGGACCAGCAAGTAGGTAACCTAAGGAGGAGGCTAGGTGCCAGACTACCCAATCATGCGATTAGAGAGTTTGACCTTTAGGCCCACCTGGAACCTCTGGAGAGGGGAGAGAGGCTGGAAACTGAGTTCTACCATCAGTGGCCAATAATTTAATCAATCATACATCTGTAATGAAGCTTTCATAAAAACTCAAAAAGCCTGGGTTGGTGAACATCATTCAAAAGAATGATGCACTCAGAGAGCTTGGAAGCTTTGCCATCCTCTCCTCCCTACCCCCCTACCCCCCAACCCCAGAACCTCCTCTATCTGGCTACTCCTGAGTCATATCCATTTATAACAAAGCTGTGATCTAGTAAGTAAAATGTTTCTCTAAGCTCTGTGGGACCTTCTAGTAAGTTAATTGAACCCAAGGAAGGGGTCATGGGAACTTCCAACCTATAGCCAGTGGATCAGATAACCTATAAGTATCTGGGCTTGCCAATGGGGGGTCTGAAGTGTGTATGTGTGTGTGTGTGTGTGTGTGTGTTGGGGGCAGTCTCATAGGACTGGGCCCTTAACCTGTGGGGTCTGACACTATCTCCAAGTAAATCATGTTAGAACTTTATTGACTTATAGGACACCCAGCTGGTGCTTGGATGTGTGGGGAAGAAAAAAGACCTGGTATCCAGAATCACACCTTCAAATGCCACCTTCTCCAAGGAATGTGGTTATGAGGAGGAAAACTTGCTACCCCATATGTCTCTTAGCATGTGGATGATTTCAAGCTGAAAAGGCCCAAAAGACTGAGCTTTCCCTTCACGGACTAAAAGAATGTCAACAGGGAACAGAGCTATCACAATAGATAAGAGTAGTATGAACTAGGTATGCTAGACAGGGAGGAACCCAGGAGAGTCTGTTTTTCAAAATTCCATTCTATGTGTCACTGTCTGTCTCCATATGGCCCAGGAAACATTTATTTACCAAACATTTGCTTTTCCATTTCCATGTCAATTGCCTTCCTTCCTTTTCAAGTCCCAACCCCCTACCCCACAATATTCTCTTTTGTCTTTAGCTGAAAATGCTGCTTAAGGTGAGGGTTTTAGCCATCTTGTCATCACTCAGTTTTCCTGGGTCTGTTCCATACACACATGTTATGAGACATTTGTTTGACTTTCTCTTATCAATCTGTCTCATGTCAACTTAATTCTTAGACCAGTCAGGAAAACCTAGAAGAAAAGAGGAACATTTCTTCCTTCTTGAAAATATCATTCTCTTAGCTAAAAATGACCCTTCCACTAATTGCCCCTGGCACTGTATTTGTACCTTTAGAGTTATTTTGTCATGTTACAACTCATATGGTCATGGACTATCCCCATGTCTAATCTATGACCCATTGATGATGAGGTCCAGTTATTATCCCTTTCCATATGCCTTCTGCAGGACCTACCAACTTGCCTTGTGAAGAGTAGGAAGAGCTCCATAAATACTGGAAAACTATATGATGTGCAAGTGATTTGAGAAGCCTAGTTCCATATGAATGTTTTATCTGGTTTTCTTCTTCCATATAGCCTTAGTTCTCCATACTGCTCACTATTCCTCAGACACAGAACATGTTTGTGTTGCTGTGTCTTTTGAATCTGTTTTGCTCAGTTGACCACTATTCTCTTCCTCTTTAAGTGGCAAACTCCTTCACATGTCCTAGGACTGCACTCCAGCATCACCTCGTCAGAGACATCTTCCCTCCTCTGACTAGTCATTGTGTTACTTGTACTTTTCTATGCTTGTCTCACCCCAGTGCTGCTATTACTGCACTACAATTCCCATTTTCCCATCTCCTCAACTCACCTGTGAGACATTTAAGCAAAGACTGAATCTCATTCACCTTTGTAACCCTGGAACTGGCAAAATATTTGATACCATATAGGTAGTTGATAGGTGTTGATTAGATTAATAATATATTTTAAATATTTTTATTTTATCTATCTTCCTGAGTTCCAAAGAAAATGTCTGCCAAAAGAGACATAGAAATAAGAGACCCTAAATATTGGCAATCTCTGCTTCCTTAAAAGTACAGCAATGCATTGCACCTGATTCTTCCAGTAACTTCTTAAAAACTACACAATTTAAATAAATTCCTTTGTCCTAGCACTTATTTTGAAAATATAAATTTTATTTACAGCTATTAATTCAGGTAAGCATCTGTGTGTGTAAGCTTTGGAAAAACAA